ACTCATTTCATGATAATCTCAAACGGAGGCCGGGGACCTCACAATTCAACCCGGGGTACTGACAGCATCAGACAGCTTAGCTTTCAGGCAACAGCCTGTAGAACCCGACGTTACTGAGTTCAAAATCCTACTTGGTAACGATAGTAGCAGAAGGTGGGGTACTGTCAGCATCAGCCAGCTTAGCTTTCAGGCAACAGCCTGCAGAACCCGACATTACTGAGTTCAAAATCCTACTTCGTAACGATCATAACAGAAGGTTAGGCTTTCTTTCTTGCACTTGTGGTGTTTCAACTCAGAATGTCTACGTACCCGGATGATAATCTTTAGCCTCTCCCCTCTGTGTTCTGTGCGTGAATACCTGTCTGCCTGTCATATTCTAGGCTGATCTAGTCTAATGACTGGGACTACCACGGCCCAGAGGACCTGGGACAGGTCCGAGTCCTACTAGACACTCTCTTAACGGCCTACCACGACCCTAAACCACCGAGTGCCCTGGTGGGCGATCCTGCTTTCAGGGCATCCTCTCCTGACCTACCCATACTTGTCTAGTCTACCGTTCATTCCCCAGGGTTGTTCATCTCCAGGATCCAACGAGAGATGACCAGGCCCTCATTTGCCTGAACAGATGCCAGCTTCTGGTTTTCGCCCAGGGTCCTAGGTTCGCGTGAACCACCTCAGTCGGCCTCGAGACCCTTTGCCAGCTTTAGCTTTCCTCCTCCAATCCACCCGGATGGCCTGTTTCAGGCCCTGCTTGATGGTGCATTTAGCCTCCATGTCTGACATGGGTCTTTTCTGGAATCTTGCTGTGTTCCCGTTCCAGATCGCTTCATAGATAAGTCCCCTGACCACATGAGCTACGTACCCCCAACCTCTGTGTGAAAGTCCCCTGACCACATGAGCTACGTACCCCCAACCTCTGTGTCCTTTCACATTAGCAGGTAGGAAACCCAGCAACACCCATCTCTCATCCCAACTTACAGTCTGATCTCCAAACTTCTTCCAATGGTATGACCACCGTTTCCATACCCGTTTGGATGCTGGGCACTCCCACCACAGGTGTCTGGTGGATTCAAATGGCCACCTGCATCTCGAACATCCCAGATCTACCTCCATACCCCTACTCTTTAGCCAAACTGCTGACGGAGTGACTAGCAGGGACAGCAACCACATCAAGCTTACCTGTTTTCCGTTTGGCATTATTGTGAGAGTTTCCCACAGTCTCTCGAATTCAGGGCCTGATTACGATAGGTGTTCCGTCAGACTGCCTGCCATCTGGACGTAGCAATCTGCGCTGGCTCTTTCCGACTGGGGGCCGATCTCCGGTACCCTTGGGAGACTGTGTAGTCCAGCAGACACAAGGGCGATTCCTCCCTTGCACTAGGCGACCAACTCCATGCAGTGGGATCTAGGCTCGTCCAGCCGGGCTCCCTCCTTGCACTAGGCTAGCTCCCTCCTTGCACTAGGCGACCAACTCCTGCCGAGCCACACCCTTTGCTTCGCACAGTCCCGTTGTCAGGTTCCGTTACCTTGGATGCTCCTCTCCTCAGACCTTGTCCGAAGTCAGATGGCATTTGCCCCGTCTGGTTTCCTGAGGATCTCCTCTTCCGCTTGGGACAGATGCACCTGGTTCTCAGAGTGCTGTCGATATCTCACTCGGTGTCCTCCATGTCGCTCCCCATTCGCTCGATGCCACTCCTCCGACTGTCTGAACCTTGGACAATTGTCCTCAGTGTGGAAATACCATCGACAGCAGCGGCACCAATCTGTATATGGCGTTATGATCTCTACCTTCCAGCGTTCCCCCTCTGGTGACTGGATTACCGGATCGTCATCAATCCTTGATCTGGAATCCGGCGGCATCTCAAATTTGACATTCATGAGCTTCGGCCGATCTTTGTCGTACTCCGGAAGGTGAATAGTTATAATCTCCCCGAAGAGCCCAGTCACTGCGCTGCCCAGGAAATAATAGGTGTCCAATGGCACTCTCAGTGCCATTATGCAGAACTTTGTCTCTGCTTCCTGTATTCGAAGGGCTTGCATCTCCTGTTTCGAGAGTCTTGGCTTGAACGACACTGAGTAGTCCTTGTTGTCTTCCATCTTGATCTTGAGCTCTTTCTGTTGTATTAGCCAGGTGGCGATCTCCTTGGACTTGGCGACTTATGATGCAACATTCTAACCCTCAAACTTGACTCTTCCTCGTCTTGCTTCTGGTCTCTTTGTGGTCCAACCGTCTTCGTACGCCCTAATCAAGTCTTCCTTCACCGCTCGTGGCAAATTCCTTGCTTCGCCCTGGAATATGACCATGACCGATCTTTCTTTCAACCACTGCTCTTTCACTTTGTTTGCTGCTTCGTTCACTACAAACTGCCTTCCTTCCTCATCCTCTACTACCGTGCCAAGGTTCTTATCGTATGGACACACTCCCTCGTCGTAGCAATGTTCGATGGATTCTCTTACTTTGTCTAATTCCTCCCTGCCTGGGTTAGATCTCGAGTGTACTGCCTCTCTACCCCCCGGTTCCTCCATCTTGGTTCCTCTTCACTACATCACAGAGGCACCGGCCTCGAATACCCAGTGTTAGGTACCACTTAGTATTTGGCAGACCGAGCCACCTATCGCTGGCTCGGTGATAGTAGGAGAAATTTAGTTACGGAGGTGCGTGGAGATTTGACGGGCGTGCACGGGAGGGAGAACCCCGATACTTTCAAGGACTAATGGAAAAACGCTGGATCACTCCGTTTTGCTCAGCTGTGGAAGAAGCACTATTGTTTTCCTTCCTTACCACAGAGGTCTGTTGAAAGCGGCTGCGATTACCCCTTCGGCTATCCGCACGAACTTGCAGGATTCCTGTTAGGGTAAATCTTCCTCGCTGTTGAAAAAATTACCTTTCTACCTTTTGCCCCGACTTTCTAGAGGTTGCCCACCCGAATTACAGTAGCGGAGGGCTGAGATCCGCTCCGATAATATCACTTGCTCCCAATTGCTGCCTGAGCCTGTATCTGATGCGACCAATTGACTTACATCGCCCTACCTCGTCTCCAACCTTCTTCCATGCTTACAGCTTTTTGGTTTGCTCCCATGTTCGTACCAGCGAATCCCCACGTGTGGGACTCTTCTGCTTTCGAGCTTAATGCTCCAGGCAGTGTTGTTATCTCTCTGTAACTGCCCTAACCGGCGACATACCTGGCTTCCCCGGACAGCTTTACCTCATCCTGTCTGTTCTTCAACAAACTACCATATTTCCTTCTTCACGGTAAACCTGGCTCCATCGAAACCCGTTGCTTCATACACTTCTTTACTTCCGAGCTCCCAGCAATCGTATCGTCGGTGGACTTTCTTCTACCCCACCCTGAATGTCCTTCTATTCGCTGTTTCTTCTTCCTCATCCTCAGTCATTCGGTCGGGGCCCACCTACCCTAGCCGGCTATGGATTACCAGGGTAACGAAGCCGCCGAAAGGCGTAGCCTCTCCTCCGTCGAGAAAGAGGGCAGCTCGTTTCACCGTTCCTCGTCGCAATGGCGAGAGTGACAGCCCAGTAACGCCCCATGCGCTAATCGCGGGAGGCGACGGCCGCTGCGGAGCGCTACGCTACTCGCCCGCTCACGTCTGCTCCTCAGGATGATTGAGACGTTTCGATTATACGCACCGGAGGAAAAAAAAAAAAAAAAAAAAAAGAGGCTGGAAGCAGCGCTTCATTCACCATGTCTTATTTACCCTCGTCATCTCCACTCCTTCACGGCTCGTTACCGTCTTTCCCCCCCACATGAATGTATGGAGCCATCTTTCCCATTCAGATACAGTCCTGTTTGGGCGGATTGCGATCGGTGGAAGACAGGGCAGCATCGCCTTGCTCCCCCTGGAACTGGTCGTTCTCCATTTTTTGTACTACTATCTTCTTCCACCGAATAGAACGCACCGTCCTCCAAACCGATGTTTTTTTTTTTTTTTTTTTTGGTAATGTGGTTCGAATCCGTCCGATGGACCGCGGATATGATATTGAACTGTTCAGAACAGATTCTACACTTGATCTTACTTAGCTAAAAGGCCGAGAAAGGTATACTTCTCTATTTTTCATGGAATTTGGGGTGCTAAAAAAAAAAAAATTAAATGCATATTTGTGGTGCTTTTCAAGCTATTAGCCTATTGTTGTTTAAATCGTTTTACAGAGTTTTCTTTCTTTTTCAAAATTTGTGAGCTTCATCTCTAGAAAACGGACCCCGGGGAAAAAAAAAAAAAAAATCTCTTGAAACCGGTGGTGACAAAGTTGTCTCCGAATCATTTTTTGTGTTCGGCAGGCGGAAGTCTTTGAAAGCCCGGATGATCCGGAGGATGCACCTGACAAGAATCCCGTTTACTGTCAGCCTCAGCCGCAGGTAGGCAGAGCTGCTTTCTTTCTTTCTTTCTTTCTTTCTTTCTTTCTTTCTTTCTTTTTTGTCTGGTGGGCAAGCTTTCTCTTCTCACGTTTCATTGTCTTTCTTCAAATAAAAAACTTAAAAAACAGAGAACAATATACTGCAGGATCTGAGAGACTCTGAGGTTCTCAGTTTGCTCACCAATCCATGGACACCTTTGGAAAAAGGGGGAAAAAAACTCGTTGAAAATTTGAAAATTTTTAACAAAAAAGTTTTTTTTTTTTGTTTTCCTGTCTTCTTGTTTTTTTGAAAATGAAAAAGCTATTCTTTTTTATTTTTTAGGGGGAAAAAAGAGCTACGGCCTAGTTACAACTAAAAACTGTAGAGCCAGAAGAAGCAGGTCCTCATTGCTGCGAAGAACAACTCCTAATTACAACTAAAACAGTAGAACATCTGTACAGAAACTGAGAATAAGTGAGAAGACAAGCAGCTGAAAGGCGCCGGGCTTTGGCCGTCAACACATGTACAAACAGAGAACAAAGGGAGAGCAAGCAATTAGAAAAAGACAGGCTTTAGCCGTTCAGCCCATCCTTTCAAAGAAAGAAGGTGGAGAAGACCAGCTGGGGGCGTTGAAGACTCATGAAGAGGATGAGGACTAACCACCACTAAGTCCCAATGCTTGTGGAACATCTCCAAGGCTCTTGGGGAGCAACCGTTGCTCAAGTTAACACTTTTAGAGACCATTCAGTAGAGATGGTCTGCTTTATCGTGTATTGGACTTCTGCTCTGATCATCGGCGGCTCAGAGGCACTGGCTCCCCACACCGAACTGCTGATGTCCGAAGCGTCCACACAGTCCACAAGATGGCCCCACAAAGGCTTTCCTCGGTGTAGGTGAGTGCTGTGTTGGGTTGTTGTGGGCGAGGCGCCACCCCTAGATAGTAAGATGAAGTCATCTGTCCAGCGTGCGGGGACAGGCACGGATCCTGAACGCCACCATTCCCAGAATAGTCTAGACTCTAGAGAGCTCACAGTGCAGACATAAATGCTGAAGTCCTTGCATTCTTATTCCGACACAAAGCACGCACTGTGGCGAGGCTTTAGTAGTTCTTGCTGCACACCAAAGGCCCGTCGGCACTGCCAAGTGTGCGACCAACCAAAGAAAGCTTGCCTGTTGCACGACAGCCAGGTCCAGGTCCATCAAACCACCAGTACTTGGCCCGGCTAAGGATGCCGAGGCAGGATACCCCCTGCATGCCAAGTTTTGCCGAACCGCAGGGGCGCTGTTTCGTTTTCCTTTTGGCTTGCGCTTCCAGCCATTGTGGACCGGTACCCCGAAGCCCGCAGGTCGCGGCGTGTTAACTTGAAACGCCCGCGGAAAGGTAACTTGTATACATTCGTAATCAGCGTGTGTTGTATTCAGAGGACTGTTGTGAGACAACAATGAGATTCAGAGATGGCTGCAAAATAAGCAATGCGATAACCGGTTGGGAACTAAACATGATATGATCATAGCACTGCTGTCTGTGGAATGAAATGAGACTGCTACCCAGTTGGAACTAAATGGCAGATATGGTATCATCATAGCACTGGTGCTTGTGAATAACATGACAATGCAAAATGTACGTACCCCAGTTGATATGGTATCATCATAGCACTGATGTTTGTGGGATGATTTGCGCACGCGAAACAAAGTGTACCCCCGTTGCAAGGATTAGTGAACTTATAAAATGGCAATGCAGTGCACAGGCGATAGCATCACATCTATTGATGTCTGTGTGGAATGGCAAACCAAACAGAGTGCCCCAGTTGCTGCTCTGTTCCTCCGGATAGAACGTGCGGTCATTATAGCTATGCATTTGGGTCAACTTTCAGTCTAGATGCAGCAGTAATGACCATAAGTTCTATTCGAGTTAAGACGGTAGTACTGATCAGATAGCAAAGCTCAGATGGTTGTGGAAACACAGTGCTTTAGATGCACAGATGGCAATGAAACAGTTGTTTTTCAGCGTGTGCGGTGTTGTGACTTTGTCCTTTTTCTTTCCTTTTTTATTTTTCTGTCAATGATGCATTGAATGGTTCTTTATGATAAGGCATGTATAGTATGTGCTATGTATACATAGTACATACGTGTGTGTCAGCATGTGAAAATAGAATGAAAATGTGGAATGATTTGAACAAATGTACTGTCCTAGTGTTTTTTTCTCAAGTTTGGAAAGGAATCAAGACACAGCTCACGTAGTGAGTGGAAATGATGAGGATTGAGAAAGGGAAGGAAGACCAGCGAAAGTCTGGGCTGAGATCCACTTGGTGACTTTACACCACCAGTACCTTTCCCCGCTTGAAAATCAATTCCGCGCCGGGTTACGCGGAAGCCAAGCGGGATCGGGGTGCCGTTGATAAATTTCATCGGCAGCCCGATTTCCGTTTCGGGCCTTTTTTTCTCCCCACGGCCATCGTTTGTCTTTTATGAGGGCATCCTCCCCCCCACCTCACTGTGGGGCTGCTAGCATTGGTTGCAAGTTTGGTTGGAATGCTTTTATTTCTGAGTATATGGCCTGAATCTTATGCGTCGGAATATGTTTGCAGGCTGTCTTTGAAGATGAAGGGATAGACACCACCGGATTTTCTGCGAGCGAGGCATTTGAGCTGTTCAGTACCAAATCACATTTGCTGACAGGTGCAAACACCATTCACCACAGTTGGTTCTAATGGCTGAGAGGCCCATATATAATATATATGCATGTATACGAGGCTAGGGTTAGGTGTGTTTATCACTTCAACCATTATGGCATATGGGCCCAGGGGGCCGGATTCGCGCCGGAATTTTCTTTCCCAACTTTCGATTGTATTCATTGGATGCTGCTGATCTACAAACGCTTGCGGGGTCGACCTTGTTCTGTGATGGGATGGGCTAAGTGTGTGCCAGTTAAACCGCCACTGCGACGGCCCCTGCACTGTTCATTTGTCTTGTCATCAAGTACCGGGCCCAAATCTACAGTGTCCAGGCCCGGTAAAGGTTCGGTGGGGAACTGTACCCACAACTATGTTTCCTCACGGCGGCACGGTAGATTTCTGGCTCGGGGAAATGCAAATTTTGGTTTGTCAAAACAGGTGCGGATGGAGTGGTGGTTTAATGTGTGCGCCGTGTTTGCTAAGGATCGGAAATTCAGTTCCACCGTTGCTGTTACTTCCCTTGTTGGTGACTTGTGCAATTAAACATCATGGGAGGCTTTGCTGTTAAAAAATCTATAAGAGTCGGTGAAACTCCAACGAAACCGTTTGTCACGGCCCCTCGTTTGCTGTACTCTTCTCCCTGTCTGGCTACGGTTTACCAGGGAGTTCTGTTTGACAATATATAAGAGAAAAAAACAACGTTTTGTGTTCGTTGAGCTGAGAGAAGGTTAGCATCTCCCTCCGGGAGTAGTCTAGAGACTATATGAACACATACGCTTTAGGCTACCCAGTGTACCCACCCTTGGGTGGATCCAACCCAACACAACATTTTGTCTGTTTTCTTGTTTGCTTGCTGAGGGCTTTTTGGTATCCCCTTGGAGATGGCTCCCTTTTGGCCTTGCTCCGCAAGTCTTGAACCTGCATATTTAGAGAGTAGACATGCTACTCCACCTACTCCTGACTTTGAGCTGTGAAAAAAACGAAGAAAGCTGCCAGAAGACTCAGAAGTTCAGAACTAACCTATCCACACTCCAGAGTGCTCTGGAAAAGTCAAGAGTCGCCTGCCTGCAAAGGAGGACGTTCCACAGAGAGCTCGGTCTGGCCCTTGAATGGCGCATTATTTTTTGAGGGTGTTGCCTGTAGCTGGATTGAGTTTTTTTTTCTTTTCTTTTTTCTCTCTTTGCTTTTTGTATTTTGTCTTGTTGTATGCACAGGGAGTAGCCCATCACGAGAGTCCGCTGATCGAGAGGTATTGAAGCGACCATGCTAAAATTGACTACTGCCGCCCTCTTACAACTCTAGATGGGACTAAGATACTTTCAGTGCGATTTTGAGAGTAGTGGAGCGAGGCCCTTTGGCTCTCTTCTTGAGAACGACTTTTAATTTTCTCTGTTTGGTTTTTTAGTTTGCCATTTTTTTTGTCTTATTTCTTTTATATTGTTCCTGGCATCATCGCTCTCTTGATCCATGAGGTGGCTGTTTGGCTACAAGAGCATGGCGGGAACTTGCAACGTTCTGATATATATACCGGGCAGCTCTGTTGATGATATATATATTATATATATATACATATTTTGACGATATATATATATATATATCGTCACATATATTAATGTGATCAGAACATCACACTGCATCCCCTCTATCCAGGTGGTGGTGAGAGAACCACCTCGATTGAGGGTTGCGGTAGGGACGACTCCAATCTATTGCTGGGGAGCAGTACCTGCTGGAAAGCGGGTCCAGCGTCCTCGTATTTACATGAAAAAGCACTGACTTTTGATGTGTTTGACAGGTGTGATCATTCAGCTAATAAGATCAGGTACTGTAGAGGGGTACTGGCCTCTGTGGATTAACTGTAGCCGCCAGCATTGACATTGAACCCCTAGCTGGCTCCTCATTCATATGATATCTTTGGTTCTCGTCACCTCCCCCAAACCCAGTATTGAGCTCTGTAGGCTGCTCAGTGCAGCCGGGCACCCTAGTGGACATAGCTTTTTGTCATTTTGATAAAGTACGTTGGTGTTACTCTTCAACACAAGTTTTTTTTTTTTTTTTTTTTGTTTAATCAGATCGGTAAGGCTCTGGCTCCTTTTCCATTCTGGGGAGCATCAGTCGATTCCTATTCCACCGGCAAGTCAAAAGGAAGTACATGAAAGGCTCACACACGCTCTTCCCCTTTACGGTAGGGAAATCCAAGGGACGGCATTGATTACTTCTCGCCAGAAGGATGTACCACCCCTCACCCCTGCCTAAGTTAGCCTGGTTTCTTACGTTTGGACGCTAAAAACTGTAGATTCGCTTGGATGGGTCTCGTCTCGCCTGTTCCGTCAGATCTTTGACTGTCTGGTTCGCTTTAAGTTCTAGAACTGTAGACTTGTCCCTCCACTTGGAATTTGCAATATCCTATACCCTCTCTTTTCTAGTTTCTGAAGTCTATGATTGCGTATAAAGTTATAAACCTTAACCTTAACTTATTTAAACTTCCTCTTTAACCAGCTCTAACTAGTGCTAAAACCCTAAACCCTATCAAATTTGGCTAGCCTGTTAACCCCGTGTTTGACCTCTCTTCTTATGGTTTGTGACACTTATTCTGACGTTTTCTCTCTTGAGTCTTTACTAAATAGTACTGCCTTTTTAGGAACTGATTATGGATGGAGTGACACTGGTATTATAATGTTGGGTTGAGAAGGGCTTGTGTAAGTGGGTCTGGGTTGGGTGGTTGGGTGTGTCTATTGTGTTTGGGCGAGAGTTGTCTTGTGTAGGGGGGGGGTAGTTTAGGACCAGGGAGGTTTGGTGTGAGGAAATTGGGCTTGGGGTGGGACAAGCTGGGGGTTTTGAAGTGTTTGTGGTGGGGGTGGGGGTGGGGGTGGGGTTGGGGTTGGGGTTGGGGTTAGGGTAGTGTGCTCTTTATTATGTAGGAGACGCTGTCTTGTGGGGTTTGGGGGTTTGATATACCGTCTGTTAATAAAGATCAGTGCTAAGCTGCTGTTGCTGACTGTGTTGTTGGGTGGTTTCGTTGTGGGGTGAGTATTTCGTTTATTTGCTTAAGTTAGTTGTGGTTATCTGTAGTGTGTTTAGTAGGAGTTGATCCGGATGCTGACTGGGTCTGGTGTGCTAATCATTGGCTCTGAATCTGGATTGTTGGTCTGGGCTGGATCATTGCACTATTTTAATGATTAGGCTCTGCCCCTTGATGATTGTTATCTTACCCTTGTCCAGATATTATTTAGGGGGGGGTTGTCTTTTGAGGATTTTTCCGATTTTCCTGTTTCATGGATTTCTATGGCTCAGATGTTTTCATCAGGCCTGGCTTGTGCTCTAAAGTGGCTTGATGGCGTCATGGTGGTCTGAGAATCTGTAGTGTTGTTGCGCGGGCTTTGGTTACGCCGGGGGGAGATTGTTAGCCAAATTTTCATGACCAATCTGTCTTTCTCTATTGTGCCTAGATTGCCTCCTCCTAGCTTAGATGACTTGAATCTTTTGATGATATGGGATTTCTTATCTGGGTCATTTTCAATTTGGGTTTAAAGTTTTTTTCCACAGGGCGTGTATTTCAGTTTCTATGAGGAGTTTAATGGTACTGAGGGGGTTGTCAGCTGCAATATGGTTGCTCTCAAAGGTTTGTTCGCATCTCCTCTTCCAGATGGCCCATATTGTCGCCTTTCTTATTTGTGAAAAGAGGAATAAGTCAAAACCTTGCAGGAAGGGGGTTTGTTCTATGTCCAGGAATATGGTGCCTGGGTTTATTTGCACTACTTTGTTGGAGTATTTGCTCCAGATGTTCTCCATGTCGTACCAGAGGGTTCGGTTTTTCTCACATTCTAGGAAGCAATGGTTTTCTTCAATTCAGTTTGAAATTTGAATGAGTGATACACGCTGGAATTAATCGAGTTTTGCAAAATCCTAACACTGGTATTGGAGCTGGCAACAATTGTGATGTTGGCTAAGTGGTTGGATCCTCCAGGCTGCCACATCAGCATGTGAGAGCCAGCAAGTGCCATGTCAGCAATTAGCTTGCACCAGTTGGTATTTGTATACTTCATGATGTACGTCGTTTAGCATGGTTTATTACAACAAGCGTTATAACCGTGGAGGAAGAGAAGAGAACAGGGAAAATGAATGGGAGTGAGGCAGTAGGAACAGAGGCCGGGGGCATACATGCTCACTTGGTTAGCGGCGAGAAAGAAGGCCCACATGCACCAGCGGTTGGTTATCCACATTTGAGAAGTAGAAGAAGAGGAGGGTCGCAAAGAAGAAACCTGCCATGTCAGCAAGTGTGAAGGATGAGGTTGCAGCATTGGACATAAAGAAAACAGAGTTGGAGGCGGGCGAGAAAGGGGGAGGAAGAGGGAAAGAAGAAATAGATTGGAAGCCCTCTCCACATTGCAATTTGCTTATGTGGATGAGCTGGCCGCTATGAAGGCCAAGCTGCATTAGATTGATATGTTGTAGAATGAGATGGCGACGTTATGGCGTCCATTGACAGTAAGCTGAACATCATCATGGCCACACTGCAGGGGGAAGCCAGGCCCACTTCCCCTAAGAAGACTTCAAAAGCGGAAGCAGAGGGGGAAAGGAAATCAAGCCAAAACTGGAGGTGCTACCTAAATTCAAAGGTAAACGAGATGAAGACATAGACCCCTGGTTGTGCGTTATCAATGGACGGCTAGAGTATTATTAGCTCACCACGTAGGACACCGTTCGTTTCGCGTTGTTTGCATCGATGGATACAGTGAGATAGTGGGGAGACAACTAAATTTTCAAGGCAGGAGTAGATATTGCTGAGTATGCTACACAGATCACATGGCTAGACGTCTCCCAAGGGGAGGGAGAGAGATATTAGGGTTACCCGTGAAGATCGGGCATGGGCCTGATATGGCGAGCTGTCCATGTCAACTAACCATCGCAGCATGCTGAATTTGATCAGATCCTGTAGACACCAGGATTCGAAAGCAGGAAGGCTGCCTTAAAAGTTAAAATTAGATTCTTCCCACGGGAGGAGAACCCATGGACAACAAAGCAAGATGCTCGTCCCGATCCCTGAGGGGCCGACATGCTTAAGCGACAGCAGCAGCAGTGGCAGTTCAGATGATGAGAGAGAAGATAGCCCCCAAAAGGGGAGAGAGGAGAGAGGAGCGATTGGTTTGCAGGGAGATGAAAATCATATGATCCTTGGAGCGCTGCAAGAGTTAAGAAAAGCTGTGATGGGGAATCAGCCCCCGCCGCCGCCGCTGCAGCAGCAGCAAGGGAGGGCAAAACAGCAGAGCGGGTGAGATTGTGGCCCAACAAGTGGAAATAGAATATGGGTACCGCTATGAGGCAGAGTCAACAGCGGATGCATACGTGAGCGGATCTGCAGGATGTTGACAGCCTGCACCCTGTGGTGACTTTGCGGTACTGTGATGCATTACTTGTGGCCACCTTTACATACACGCCTGTATCACAGCCAGCAGAATGTCTGCTTTGACTGTCCTCCCTGCCTTTGTATTGTTTCGTTTCACACTGTGGAAGGTGGGTCTTGCCTGCTTTCATGTTGCAGGGCAGGGGGGAGGGGGGGATACCTCCTGATGGGCTTGATACAGGATTATGCAACGGGCATCAAAGGCAGAATATTGGCTCAAAGCTTAGTAGTGAATCCACAGAATGTTGAGGACTCAAACCCTGTGGCAAGCCAGTGGTACTCTACTGGAATACTGCTGGCCACACTCTCTGTATGTACCTTTCTCGAAGCACGCACCGTTTCTAGACTCGAGAGTAGCGTTTGTGTGTGACATTCCAGCCTTTGTTTGATTTCTTTCACGAATCCTGGGCTTTGCCTGCTTCCCTGTTGCTACCATTTAATGGAGTTTTTGTGCGAACCGCAGCAAACGTGGAACTGAAGCCAAAGAAAGATGTTTGTTACACCCATAATAAAGAAAGGAATCATTCAGTGATTCGGCGAATGGGCTCAAATGCGGTGTCGAATTGGTGGTAGTCTCATGAAACAGTGTGTCACAGTTACTTGTGTTTTTTTTGTTTTTGTTTTGGCGGTGACAATCAATCGTATTGACCTTGCTTATGCGATTGACTGCATAGGTATCAATTCGAGGTTGAGTTGTGGCAAAAGCATTAAAAAGAGCATTCATCAAAACCAAGCTTCGTCTCGTGGACAAAGGTCATCTGTGCCTGAGGACTTCTATGAATCCCCTGCCCAAAGGTATTTGCGGCTTCAGAGCGAAATTCAAGCACTCCAAGAGGAGCTAGAGGTATGCTGAGAACATCGGTGTTGAAAGCTCCTCCGAATGATATCTCGGGTATTGGGTTCTGGATAATTATTCTGATATGGGTTGATGGGAGTGGTGAGCGAACATCTGCAAAAGTGATGGGAGTGGTGATTGCAGAGATCTGCCAAGTTTTGGGGGAATGAACCAATGAATCACTGTCACCCTTTTTAAGCTCAAAACGCCTGCTGGTTATGCAGTGGTTTTCATAGATAAGCTTAATGAATCACTGTCACTCTTTTTAAGCTCAAAACGGCTGCTGGTTATGCAGTGGTTTTCATAGATAAGCTTGGAATAGACAGATGCAGAGGGCTTTTCTTTCCTGTCTTTTCTCACTTAACTTAGCGGTAAGGGGAGCGGCAGATGTCGAGGTATGGGTGGTCCAGGGATGCCGAGGGATGAAACTTATGCCCGCCTGCCTGTCATCATTCTGATCGGGCACTTTACTACCGTAAACAGTAGTGTGATGAACCCAACTCAAGCACCTCACACCATTGTGATCATGCGTGATGCTCACCATCCTCAATGAATGACAACACACAGAGATAGCGGCATAGGCAAATGACAAAATAAAGGAAGAAAAGAAGAAGAAGAAGAAGAAGAAGAAGAGGAGTCGAGAAGAAAAGAGGATCTCAAGATAGTAATCAATTGGTACAATGCCTCATCTCCCCTTTCCCCCTTCGATGGCCAGGTTCGTCACCGACCAATTGCCACCTCAGCAATTGTCATCCTATCATCTATTGTTAGTATAACCTCTATCTCGTGACAATACAGAAGAAGAAGAAGAAGAAGAGTAGGAGATGAAGAGTCAGTCTGAGCACGGAAGATAATAATAATTTGGTACAATGTATCATCTCCCCTTGCCCTCTTCTACAAACAGGCTCTTCACGTATCAATCGCCACCTCAGCAATCATCGTTCTATCATCGATGAATGCTGTAGCCTCTCACAATACCTCGCCAACATGCGAAGTCACTCTTCAGGTCAGTATCACTCGGGCCCTGGCTTTCCAAATCCAGCCTTCAGAAGCACAGAAGCAGAGCGCCGTTTCTCTCCACACGGCAGCACCGCCACTCTGGCAATGCATCTCAGTACTGGATAAGCAAATGCCGGGCTTCAGAAGCAGAGCGCGCTTTCTATCCACACGGCAGAACCACCAGTCCAGGTCAAACCTCTCTCTCCTCACCACAGGATGATCTCTCTCTCTCTCTCTCTCTCTCTCTCTCTCTCTCTCTCTCTCTCTCTCTCTCTCTCTCTCTCTCTCTCTCTCTCTCTCTCTCTCTCTCTCTCTCTCTCTCTCTCTCTCTCTCTCTCTCTCTCTCTTCTCTCTCTCTGAGGTATGGAGCAACTGCGCCTGCTACTCTACAAATGGCTAGGGTGTGTTTGTTTGTCATACGGTTTGCGATAGAAACATGTTTTGCTCAGCGTGTGTACATTCTGCTGCTGAATACGTTTGAAGGGGGAGTAATCTTCAGTTTTTCAGGGTGAGTTGGGACCCCACTGTGGATGTGATATTTTCGGTTGTCTGTCACCTGTTAAGTGGATGTGGAGTAAATATAATTGACCTTGTATAGAGTCTACTGTAGACATGTAATGATCTGACTTTTTTTTTTTTTTTTTTTTTTTTTAAGCTGTCTTCTCGTCATTGGGGGCCAGCCACATGTGTATATTTTCGCTCAATTTTTTCTCGTATGAGACTTCGGCGGAACAGTTTGTCACAGCCCTTCGTTTGTTGTCCTCGTCTCCCTCTCTGCCTACGGTTTACCGGGCAACTCTGTTTGACTATGTAATATGTATGCACCTTCTGAACATGGGATGCTAAGGGTTATGGGTTTGGATTCCCGGCCTCCCGGCATTCTCCCTAGTGAATCCCAGCCTTCTGCTCAACTCTGCTCTATGGGGGAGCAGTACCCCGGCTCCTAACACCTGGTGCGAGCTGGAAAGCGCGGAGACACTTCCACAACCAGCCGAGAGGCCCAAGCCAATTATCTCACTGGTGAACCCGGCGCGTATCACAGGGGGCCGTGGGGGATCGAATGTTCTAACTTCTAACGTATCATATGAAGATTGTGATTTTTTAGCTAATGCAGCTAATAATAAGAAATAACTTTATTAGTAGGATTCTGTAGGAACAAAATTTCAAGCTTCTCACTCATTCATGCATAATCATACTGTGATGCTTGCAGTCCTGTGAAAGAGAGAGTCTGAGATTCCCTCATTTCCTGTAATATGCTGTTTTACAATCATATCTACTCGTGTAGTTACTCTCTCCTTATATTGTTCCATGTTTGCTGTCTTATTATTGTCTGCCTCCTATCATTGTTAAGTGCCTTTGCAGTAATGATGAGGGTAGTCTGAGGAGCAAAGGAGGGAGCACAGTCTCAAGCAAGGATGTGGGGCGGTTGCAGCAGGAGTTATCATCCTTGGCAGAAGATAGACGATGGAGAGTGCTTCTGAACCCATTCATGTCTGATCCTTCAGTAATGGAGTCCTTTGAGCTTCAACACATGCTCTCAAAGAGACTCCTCAGTGAACTGGAGTGTGTGAGAGCGAACACAAATGCAGTCAACAAGGAGGAACAAGCTTCAGCAGATGCAGAAGATGTGTCTAAGGAGGTGTGTTCCTGTTTGCTTGATTTCATATTGTTCTTGTGGCTGTGAATATCAGTGTTTTTTTTCTCTGTGCAGTTGTTGATGGTTTTCAAGAATGACATCTCCTGGGCTTCTCAACGTAATGGTCAGCATAACGAGAACGAAGAGATTTGAATGATTTGATTGATTGTTTACTCAGATCATCATAGATAAACATCATAGATAACTAGAGTGTGCATTTCACTGTTTTTTTTTTCTTTTTTCTTTGTTTCTTTTCAAGACCTCTGTGGCACGTGCAAGAAATCAGCTGCGAGAACAGAAAAATTTCGAGCACCAAAAACTCAGTGAGGACCAGCGATGGGTGGACCAAGCTGAAAGCAGAATTGACAGCACCACAAACACACCAAAGCATGAACACACTGCACACTGAAGTATCGTCATCATGAAAGCCCTCTTCATGTCTCCGAACAATCAATACAACAACGGAGGAGTAGCCCAATAAAACATCGGAGGAGAAGGACTAAGCTATGCTGTGACTGCCTAGACAACGTCCGTAACCTAGCCTATCATCTAGCCGCCTCGTTCACTCTCTGTCGACTCCGCTGTGGGCAGATGCCGCTGAAGATTCTTATCACGTAGGTGCTCTCCCACCTTACACCAGGTAAGTATCCGCCTGTCCCCACCACTGTCTTCCTCTCCCAAGGACCTACCCCCTTCCTTGCCACATTCCCTTCACTGCACTGCCTCACTCAGCTATGGCTAGCGCATGTGCGAGGGCCATGAATAGAGTGCTAGCCAGCGCCTGAAAGAAGCCAGCGCCCAGCAACAAGGAAGCATTGCAAATTCCCATGGGGCATTGGTCCCATAGGCAGGTTCCTTCGAATAGAACAAAACACCGTCTTGGGTCTGTTGTTCTTGCTGACAGCGACATGATGAAATCCATGGCGGATATCAAACTTTGTAAAAACATGACCAGCTCTGGACACATCGAGAAGACCGTTGACGCGTCGCAAGGGAAACACATTCTTAACTGTAATAGCGTGTAACTTTCAGTAGTCAATGCAGATCCTGATCCCACTGTTCTTCCTTGTGAAGGCTCGATCCACCCTAGGCGCTCAAAGTCCTGGACCCTGTCCGATACTTCAAATCACCAGTACCTTAGAAGCAGCCTTCCTGAACCTTTTTTGTGGCAAGCTACCAAACCTCTTTGTTTCACGCAAATGCATGCAGCTGGTGAGTAGTAGAGCCACATTAGGCGAGCATTGTGGACGGGGCTGTGTGCCCTCTTGGGTTGAGGTCATATGCTTGATGGAGCTAGTGTGCAACATGTGCCTGGGTGGTCTTGTGTGTGTGTGTGTGTGTGTGTGGTGTAAGGTAAGGACACTACAGCCATGGAGGGGTGGGCAGTGGTATGGTTCCACTTGTGTACACTGTGCCATGGCTGTAGTGGTTAAGAAACTCGGCCCTTGACCTTGAGGGCGCCGGTTCGAACCCGTCCGTGTGGGGAGGAGGTCCAAAGATGGAAAGAGTACTGACCGACCGGTCCCGTTCTTCTATGCTGGTTGTATCGTTTCTTCCCCCCTTCTCATCTTTTCTTTTCTTTTCCTTGTTGCTTCCTTTTTGCCCTATGGGCAGCCGCAACTGCCAGAAGAGCCATCAACGGGGGGATGACCTCGTCATCTCATCCAAGAAAGCAATGGGGTACCATGGTACGGACAAGAAGCCTTGCTCCGCACTCACCACATGCACAAAAGACAAAAATTATGGTGTTGTGTCTTTCTTCTTTTTTGCTTTTGGACCACGATTTATGTGCGCCATCCTTGCACAGGACCATGCTAATCTTCTCTGTGTTGTGATCCTAGCAGTCGTACAGTGCAAAAAACAAAAGAAAGACAATGCCATTCAATTGCAACTGAAATGAAAGATCTTTGAAAGTGTTACGATCCTGGCCAATTTCAAACTGCAAATTGACGAAGCAGTACAATGCCATCCAATTGCAAAAAGAAATGAGATGGAAGAGAGAGAAAAGAAGAAGAAGAAGAAGAAGAAGAAGAAGAAGAAGATGCAGGCCAGCAAAAGTCCAATGACAATTCCCCCTCCTCTCGCCAACCAACTACTCCTTATCCCCTCCCTCCTTATTCAAACAATAAATAATAATAATAAAGATGAATGACTGAGCGAGAATCAATGTCCGAATCCCTCTTCTACTGCCAGCACAAGAAGAGGTCCACCATAGCCATGGCCACCCTCCTGTCCCTCTTCGTTCAGGCCTAGGCTATGGAGGACTACTAAGGGCCTTGCCCTGACGTGCAAAAGACAATGCAAAAGCAGGTATGTTATGATCCTGGCTGATTTCGAGATACACATTCATCAGATAGTACAATGCCGTCCAATTGCAGAAAGAAATGAATGAACTTGAGAGGAGAGAGAAGGTTAGAAGAAGAAGAAGAAGATGATGTACACCAGCATAGACAAATGATAAGGCTCTTCTTCTTTGCCAAACTCTCTTCCTCCTTATCTCCTCCTCTCTTATTCACACAAGAAATAATAATACAATGTTGAATGGCTGAACCAGAATCAATGTCTGAATCCCTCTTCTACTGCAGGTATCACTTGAGGTCCACCGTAGCCATGGCCGCCTCTCTTACTCTTCACTCTCATAGGCCGAGGCTATGGCGGACTACTAGGCCTTGCCCAGATGCCCAAAGGACAACCCAAAGCAGTTATGGCTGCTCTAGCTCAGGCCGCCATGCCTAGCCCTGCCTCGAAGCTTCTTGGTGTAGCTCTACCCCCAGCTGGGGCCTTCCTGCTGCAGCGCCCACCAAGGTGATGAAGATGGCTGCCACCATAGCCAGGTAAGTACCTCTGGCGCTCCTCCCTAGCCCTGGGCTTCGTCCTCCTCCATGTCCTTGCTCCTTCCCCAGCAGCGCTGCTGAGTGCTAGCGCTGCTCCAGCCAGCGCTCCAACCAGTGTGTCGCCAAACTTGCACACCGACAATGAGGCTGGGCTCTTCGCCTGGCCGGGAGATTTAGCGGCCTGCTTGTCTCTTGGGCGGTGACTTCCAGGCCGCTCGGCCTTCCAAGCAACCGGTACCTCCTCCCTTTCGGAGGGAAACATCATTGCAGACTCTGATATTGCCCGTACAGGCCCTAGACTCAGACTGGCTGGACTGGTACCTAGACCTAGCCTACAACTACTGGGCCTCTCAAAATACCACTTTTGTCTTCTTCTGCTCAGCCTCAAGCACCCGGCACATCTATCACTTCAGGGAGTGGTACCGGCCTACCTGCTACTTGASTGTTTCCCCGCTGCTTCAAGGGCTGCGGGCCTCTTCCCCCCGCCACTTGAGTGTTTTCCCCCGCTGCAATCCTCAATGTCACGGCCACAGGTAAGTACCGGCCCTGAGGGCCCAACAAAATTAAGTGCCCTTGCGGGTCACACACACACTCAAGCCATCAAGCACTCAGACAGACATGCAGACCAGCAAGCGTGCACACGCACAGACTTGGAGAACTCAGTAGCAAGCGGGAAACTCAGCAAGGCATTCAGTCCATGGGCAAAACCCAGAAATCAGCTGTGTCTCTCAGTCCGTGTTCGGTCAGGTCATCACAGGTATGTCAACTCTATTCTGCCCCGCTGCATTCTACTGCTCACGTGGAACAATAGAAATAGATGATGACGCGGTGTGCAGATGGGCATGATGTGTTCTTTTTTTTTTTTTTTTTTTTTTATCAGGGCCTTATGGTCCTGGCTGGGCATGATGTGTTCTAACCTTGAATGATGGGAAGACTTTCAAGAACCGCTTACACACAATCAACCACGCAATGGAACCGGTTGCCCAGTCACAAAGTGTCCAGTGTGGCAATGGAGTATAGAAGTTTTAGTGCAGCTATCGCTGTGCCTGAGTTGCCCCTGAAAATGAGTGAATGCCAAACGTTCCTCTTTTTTTTGAAAAAAAAAAGCGGGATCGCCTTGAGATATCATCATTTAACTGACTTTCCCTGTACCATTGGCGGGATCGGAGTAGAAGGTGTGTATGTTGGATAGAAAGGTCGTGGGAAATATTCGGACATAAGTGCATGATGGCGCTCTCAGCCACTGCCCTCCCCAGTGCCCTCTAAAGAAACGGGAGAGAGAGGCCCATTGGTGTACCAGAACCGTATGTCACTAGGACAAGCCTGCCGTACGTGTCATCATAATTGTTTTCTAACCTCCCTTACAATTTTTTCTGTTCGGAAACACTGCTAAGTGGGGCTTGCAGCATCCGTCATCGGATCACATATGATCTGATGGCCAGGGGGCACTGCTGCATGTGAGATTTCTGTCCAAATTGGCACCCCTGACTTCTTTCTAGTTTCGGAGCAGACTGACATCCCTGATCTCAGACTCCTGCCAACTCCTTTTGAACAGCATTCAAGGTCAGTAAGACTTTCCCTTCTCTTCCCCACTGAGAATTATCCTTCTCCTGTCACTTTAACACGTACACCGCCCTGTCCTTGCCCACCAGTGAGAGTACCAAACCAATTTCCTTCTCCCTCCCTCTAATGCACTTGCCAGTACCTAACGAACTTTGCTTCTCAAGTCAGAGGATGAACAGCCTCACTGGAAGCAAGGAAGAAAAGGGTGACTTTTAAGACAGACTCTCCTCACAGCTCAACTCTCCTTGACTCTTAAGACAGACTCTCCTCACAACTCAACTCTCCTTCTTTTTTCAAAATAACATTTTTTTCCCCAGAGAAGGTAGCTGCGTTGTTAGTATACTGGAAAACTGGTCTGATGTCCCTTACATTAGATCCACACTCGACCCTTCCCTTCGGTATGGTCAAGCGACCCTGAGACAGCAGTATTGATTACTTCCTGAGACATGAAGGATGTACTACTTCTCCAACCCTACTTACCCTAGTAGTCCCGTTGTCCTTTTGCTGGCCCTTCAAGGGTTTACAACTTTACACAGTGTTATGATTTTCCTCAGTCTGTTTATATTGAGCTCTATCCTAGCTACGGTGCCATCTGTAAATTCTGCTAAGGATTTGCCTGGGTCTTCTATTTTGAAACTGTCGAATTTATGCATCGGAGGTTTATTCCTGGTTGGAGTCTGTCACCTGATTCTCTTGAGCCCATACAATGTCCTTTTCGATCAGTGAAACCCAAGGCAGTGTGATACTCACTAGCACCTCCTCCAAATTGGCTTTGAGGCTGTGGCAAACCTTTAGTTGAGTTTGCAACTTTGCAGTGCCCCCCTTTGCAGTGCCCCCCTGTCTTCCGGGCCTTCGCTCTGTCATTGTACAGATGCTGGATTTTCTAGCTTCCCTTTTCAACCCAGACCCTCCACCTCCTGTTGTTGTGAGCAAGGGTCCACAAGTTGCCGTCTTCGTCTACTAGGTGTGGATTGCCAAAAGGGACTGTCGGAGTACCTTTTCCTTGCTAGAGGGATTTGTTTTTTTTCACGAACGTCAACACTACTACTAAAATGAAATGAATGAATTGTGGAGCATCTTCTCTGTCAAACTCCAGCAACCCCCAGCATCCAAAACCCCTTCAGCAAAGAACACGAGAAGATTGAGTTGCGAAGAGATCCATCTCCTCCACTAGTAACTGGAGCCATAAGACACCCTCTGCCAACCACAACCCAACACCGCCAAAACTCCACACAGTCTTGTTGTTTAGCCACAAACCCCATCCTCAAGGACAGCATGCCCTTCAGTCAGTCTCAAGGCCTTCCCAGAACTTTCTCTATGGGGTTGCTGTTATTGAGCAAAGGAAGGGGTTAAGTGATAAAGGGGTTGTGGAGGACGAAATGACACAAGTTAGAGCAGGTGGGGGGGCCGGAGGGATTTCTAATTTTCTTCTGGGAAAGCTTCTCTCCAAATCCCAATAAGATTGGAGCCATTTGGACCTTATCCTGCTAGAAGAATATATGTCCTGATGAAAGGTGGGCACTCTTCCCCTCCCTTCCTCTTTCCGTGAAGACCTGTATTCGTTCATTGCCCAAGCTGTACCTTCGATATCGCCAGCGGCATGGAAAGGCACTATGTTTATGATCTGTGATAGTCCTGTGCCGTGCCATGGGAGCTGTTGAAAAAATAGCAGTCTGATTATCCATTTGGTTTGTAGGGCTTTGAATTCGTTGGAGGGGTCAATAATACTGAGGCCACCTAATGCAGCTGGTCTGGTTATGTACGTCCGTGCGTCCGTGCGACTTTTGTGATGAAGTTCATCTCGGCTGCATCTCCTGTCCTCAAGTATGCAGCCAAATTTCTGCAGGTCTGATTTTCTATGTACTTCCACGTGGTGCTACAGAGGATGCAAATCAGAGTTCAAAACAGTCTTTCCTATGGTACAAGCCCTACTGCTAACAAACAGGTCACCCTCCAAGGACCTTGCCAGTGTTGTTCCTCCTTGCCAACGACACAATCCCAGACTACACATCTATGCTTCTTCTTCGACCCCGTCTCGTCCTCCTACAGCGCACTGGACAGTTTTTCAAAACCTAGCACCACACGAATAAATCCTGCAAAAACGAATTCTGAAGTTTGTTCGCTGGGCACTTCCCCCGTTGCCCCTGGAACCCTCTAGATAACTTGCTGGAAACACACTAACCACACAAGCGGTATCAAGCATCAACTTTATGTGCATGCAAGAACAGGTCTAAGGTTCAAGACTCCACAGGTGCATTCATAGCTCACACTACAGTACATCAACAGGTAAGTACACAGGTAAGTCAATGTCAAGGTTGCAGGTTCGAACTCCAGCAACAGCACTCACACATACAACACAGAACAGCAGCCAACAACAACAGGTCCGGGATGGAATCGTGGCAGGCAAGGAAGGTGAAATCCTTTCAAAGGCAGTAAAAACATACGGCAACCCTGAACATCATCTTGGCTAGGATCCTCATCTTGTTCCACAAAGGGTCACTAACTTTGCTTCTTAGTTTCAGAACTTTCAGTCCAGCTTGTGTCAGTCTACAGTTAGATACTATCAAGAAGCACGAGAAGAAGAAGAAGACGAGGACGGAAGGACGGAGGTGGAGAAGAAAAAGGAGGAAGAGGAAGAAGAGGAGGGGGAGGAGGAGGAGGGGGGGGGGTCACAGAGCCACATGGAAGGGGTTGACATTGCCCATCAGGGTTGCAAACCTGCCGACTGCCGAATGTGACCGCCGACCGTCTTGCAGCCAACCAGTAGGGCTGACCGGTCGGTGGTCTGCTGACCAGTCTGAAAACACTGCCATGCACTGATTTTTTTCAAACCTGAGTTGGGGGCCGTACTGCGCTCACTGAGTACAGCCCAAATCCGCTGAGAAACTGTTGGGGATGGGGGGGGTATGGGGGTTTTGGGGGGGAAGGTATAGGGCGGTATAGGGGTGGTATATGGGGTATGAGGCTTTTGGGGAGGCGGTTTGGGGGTGTTGGGGGGGGGTATGGGGGTATTGGGGGCGGGTGTGGAGCTGTTGGTGGGGTGATTGCGGGTTCCTTTTTTTTGTGTGTGGACCATCTCTCAATTTATGTCATCCTTGCGCAGGGGCCATGCTGATCTTCTCTGTATCGCTCCAATATTAACAGACGTCCCGAAGGACAGTTCTTGGGGGTTCTGGAATCTGGACCCAAAAAAAATAAAAAAGTAATATATAATATTTGTAGTTATATTATATAACATATATGTGCCTCTAGTGCCAGCGGCGTGTCTGGAGTGTATTTTTTGGCTGTGATAGACCTTTCTTTGTTTCGTGGATGTTTTGCTGGCTTGTGATGGGGTGTGAACCGACAGTCTGTAGAGTTTTCCATCTGGTGTGGGTGAGTGATAGTCTACTTTGATTTTGGTTAAGGTAGATTATCATTTACAGTGTAATCAGTG